AGACCAGAAGGCATGGCAGGATGTGCAGAATACCCCCGTTGAAGAGCAGAGGTGCAACAGGTACTCTGAGAGAGAACTCTATCAACATCAGAGGCCCGAGACTGTTCAACACGCTTCCACTACACATAAGGGACATAACTGGCCGACCCCTCACAGTGTTCAAGAGAGAACTATCAACATCAGAGGCCCGAGACTGTTCAACACGCTTCCACTACACATAAGGGACATAACTGGCCGACCCCTCACAGTGTTCAAGAGAGAACTATCAACATCAGAGGCCCGAGACTGTTCAACACGCTTCCACTACACATAAGGGACATAACTGGCCGACCCCTCACAGTGTTCAAGAGAGAACTATCAACATCAGAGGCCCGAGACTGTTCAACACGCTTCCACTACACATAAGGGCATAACTGGCCGACCCCTCACAGTGTTCAAGAGAGAACTATCAACATCAGAGGCCCGAGACTGTTCAACACGCTTCCACTACACATAAGGGACATAACTGGCCGACCCCTCACAGTGTTCAAGAGAGAACTTGAGAGAACATCTCCAAAGAATACTTGATCAACCAGGCTGTGACTCATACGTCAGGCTGCGAGCAGCCGCGTCCAACAGCCTGGTTGACCAGTCCAACAACCAGGTGGCCTGGTTAGAGACCGGACTGCGGTAACTTGATCCCCGGAATCAACGCAAGGTAGGGCTATAATTTGCAGTTTTTTTTTTTTTTTTTTGCATCATTTGCCACTCATTCTTGTAATTCCACTGCTTTATTAGTGATTCCATCCGCATTTGTGTATATTACTTTTCTGCTTCTCATGACGATTGGGCTGCTTTTGTTTTGCCCTCCCCCCCCCATAGGAGTATTTGTTCATTTGGCTACATATCTGATAGAGGAAGAAGGGGGGGGGGGAAGGAAGGAATTATCAAGGGAAAGCGCCAAGCCATTACGACTATATAACACTGGTAAGGGGGTCAGGATAAGGATTTGGGATGGGACGGGGGAAAGTAATGGTGCCCCAACCACTTGTGGACGGTCGGGGATTGACCGTCCAGCTTAAGTGGTTGGGCTTTATTCAACGGAAATGATGTAGAAATGAATAGTTTGGTGTGTAGAGTGACGTCAGGAGGTGGTTCAAGCTGAAGCCAATTGGTTTTCCACAACCAGGTAGTTAGTGTGTGTCCTGGTTCACTGGTAGTTCAACAGTTATGAATTGTTTACAGGTGTGTGTGTGTGTGTGTGTGTGTACTCACCTATACTCACCTATTTGTGCTTGCGGGGGTTGAGCTTTGTGTGTGTGTGTGTGTGTGTGTGTGTGTGTGTGTGTGTGTGTGTGTGTGTGTGTGTGTGTGTGGAGGGTGGGGGGGAGATGGAAATATTGGGGGTTGGCTGTGTTTTTTTATGAATATTATGATGGTCTCAAAGGCGGGGCCTAGGAGCTAGAGAAGATCGTCCCGGCAGGCTCAGCTAGGTGAGTGTACACACACACACACACACGCAGTTAGTAGTAGTAGTTAGTAAATAGTTGATTGACTGTTGAGAGGCGGGACCAAAGAGCCAGAGCTCAACCCCCCGCAAACACAACTAGGTGAGTACACACACACACACACACACACACACACACACACACACACACACACACACACACACACACACACACACACACTGTTTACATTTCTACATGGATACTAATCGCTTTCTTTTTCATTCCAGGTGAGACACGGTCGTCACTGGTGTTAGTACTGGGACCTGTAGCTCCATCGGAGGTAAGGCAGGATGTGCAGCCCTTGCGTGCACTCACTGCACGCAATTCTAAAGACCCGCAAACACAGAATGTTTGCGGGTGCGATGTTTGCAACATTTGAGACGGGACGACGCTAAAACATGGCCGCTAAATATTGGAAGTTGGCGATGTTTAAATGCGCTGGCGAGGGAAGAGGAAGCATCAGGGGGGAAAGCGCCAAGCCATTATGACTATATAGCACTTGCCTTGCGATGATTTCGGGGCTTAGCGTCCCCCGCGGCCCGGTCCTCGACCAGGATCTCCTTGGAAGGGATCAGGATGAATAAGGATTTGGGATGAAAGGAAGGAATGGTGGCCACAACCACTTGGTGGACGGTCGGGGATTGAACGCTGACCTGTATGAAGCGAGACCGTCGCTCTACCGTCCAGCCCAAGTGGTTGGGCAATGTGGTGTCGAACTGAGCGTTACTAAAGGAGTGCCAGGAGTGTCAACCTGGTCATCACAGCTGGGAGTGCCAGGTGCCAGTGGTGTAATGTCATTGTTCCCAACACCGGGTCCAGCTTACCTGGAATATACCTGGATGGGGTTCTGGGAGTTCTTCTACTTCCCAAGCCCGGCCCGAGGCCAGGTTCGACTTGTGAGTGTTTGGTCCACCAGGCTGTTGCTTGGAGCGGCTCGCAGCAGACCCACATACCCATCACAGGCCAGTTGGTCCGGCACTCCTTGGAGAAAACTATCCAGTTTTCTCTTGAAGATGTCCACGGTTATTCCGGCAGTATTTCTTATACTCGCTGGGAGGACATCGAACAACCGCGGACCTCTGATGTTTATACAGTGTTCTCTGATTGTGCCTATGGCACCTCTGCTCTTCACTGGTTCTATTCTGCATTTTCTTCCATATCGTTCACTCCAGTACGTTGTTATTTTATTGTGTAGATTTGGGACCTGGCCTTCCAGTATTTTCCATATGTATATTATTTGGTATCTCTCTCGTCTCCTTTGTAGAGAGTACATTTGGAGAGCTTTGAGACGATCAGAATAATTTAGGTGTTTTATCTCGTCTATGCGTGCCGTATATGTTCTCTGTATTCCCTCTATTTCAGCAATCTCTCCTGCTCTGAAGGGGGAAGTGAGTACTGAGCAGTACTCAAGACGGGACAACACAAGTGACTTGAAGAGTACAACCATTGTGATGGGATCCCTGGATTTGAAAGCTCTCGTAATCCATCCCATCATTCTTCTGGCTGTCGCAATACTTGCTTGGTTATGTTCCCTAAACGTTAGGTCGTCGGACATCATTATTCCCAGATGCTTTACACGTTACTTCCGTACTAGGGGCAGATTTCATTGTCTTATACCCAGTATATGGGTTAAGGTCTTCAGTTTAACCATTGCTCAGGAACTGGAATTTATCACTGTCAAACATCATGTTATTTTCCGCTGCCCAATCGAAAACTTTATATTTATATTCTATTCTATTCTATATTTATATTTATATATTAAAAATATATTTATATTTTTTCCGTGTTTTCTCCACAATTTTCATGCTGATTTTTAAGTGTCATCTGCAAAAGAAGACACAATGCCGTGACTTGTATTTCTTGAGGTTATCTTGAGATGATTTCGGGGCTTTTAGTGTCCCCGCGGCCCGGTCCTCGACCAGGCCTCCACCCCCAGGAAGCAGCCCGTGACAGCTGACTAACTCCCAGGTACCTATTTACTGCTAGGTAACAGAGGCATTCAGGGTGAAAGAAACTTTGCCCATTTGTTTCTACCTCGTGCGGGAATCGAACCCGCGCCACAGAATTACGAGTCCTGCGCGCTATCCACCAGGCTACGAGGCCCCAAATTTGTGACTAAATCTGATATGAGAATGAGAAAACAGTGGTGCAAGGACTGTACCCTGAGGTACAGAGCTTTTTACTGTGCTTGGACTAGATTTAGTTTGATTAATTGTTAATCTTTGTATTCTGTTTGACAGGAAGTTGAATATCCTTCGCCCTACTTTACCTGTTATTCCAATTGATCATATTTCGAATGCCTTTGCGAAGTCTGTGAATACTCAACCCGTTCTCGCACTTTCTTACAGTCAATATTGACTTATTAAATCCGTGCATATGTGACATACTAAACATACTAGTTTACCTTGAAAAGCTTCATAGAAAACACCGACCTTACCTAACCTTCTTAGTATGTTAAGATAAGCATCTTATTGCTTCTTAATTACAATTATTACCTAACCTATACCTATAATAGGTTAAGTAGTAATTGTAATTAAGTAATAATTAAGTAATTGTAACCTATACCTATAATAGGTTTAGTAATAATTGTAATTACGAAGCAATAAGATGCTTATCTTAACATACGGTAACCTTACCTTACCTTACCTACGGTTAGGTAAGGTAAGGTCGGTGTTTTCTATGAAGCTTTTCAAGGTAAACTAGTATGTTTAGTATGTCACATATGCACGTATTTAATAAGTCAATATTGACTATACGAAAGTGCGAGAACGGGTTGGAATACCACATCTGCATTTTGCTTTTCTTCTAATGCTTCCCTGATTTTTTCATAGTGGTTGAGTGATTATAAAAGGCATTATCGTCCTGCTCTAAATCCATGTTTGACCTGGGTTGGTAAGATAATTGTTTTCCATTAAACTGGATATTTGGTTTCTGATCACTCTTTTTCGAAAAGATGTATTGAGTGTGATGTTAGTGCAACCGGTCTGTTGTTTTTAGCCACAGCTTTACTACCTCCCTTGTATAGTTGAGCAACATCTGATTAAAATGCTGCTAGTATTTGATTTTGATATAAATTTTTCTGCCACAGACGTGGCCAGACATTTACAATGCTAACCAACATATATACACTTATGTGATGTCTGCACTCTCCAAATCTACTCCTGTTTCTGACCTTGCGCAAAAGGACATGTTTCAGGCATACTTAATACTCCTTAACCGTCAGGTGTTTGTTGTATTCACTTGTGTGTGAGTTGTGTTATATAAGTGTTTTTCCCCTTGAATGTTTGTTTGTTCTTTGTTAATGTTTTTCTCCCCAGTCAAATTTAAATATTAAAATTTATTGATCAACCTCTCTCGCTTGATCATTTTTTTTTAACATTTGTTGAGTAGTATTGATCTTTGTACATTAATGAGCTTGTGATCTTTGTTTCTTTGCTTGATAAGCTTGTGATCTTTGTTTCTTTGCTTAATAAGCTTGTGATCTTTGTTTCTTTGCTTAGTCAAATTTAAATATTAATAAGCTTGTGATCTTTGTTGATCTTTGCTTAATAAGCTTGTGATCTTTGTTTCTTTGTACTTAATGAGCTTGTGATCTTTGTTTCTTTGCTTGATAAGCTTGTGATCTTTGTTTCTTTGCTTAATAAGCTTGTGATCTTTGTTTCTTTGCTTAATAAGCTTGTGATCTTTGTTTCTTTGCTTAATAAGCTTGTGATCTTTGTTTCTTTGCTTAATAAGCTTGTGATCTTTGTTTCTTTGCTTAATAAGCTTGTGATCTTTGTTTCTTTGCTTAATAAGCTTGTGATCTTTGTTTCTTTGCTTAATAAGCTTGTGATCTTTGTTTCTTTGCTTAATAAGCTTGTGATCTTTGTTTCTTTGCTTAATAAGCTTGTGATCTTTGTTTCTTTGCTTAATAAGCTTGTGATCTTTGTTTCTTTGCTTAATAAGCTTGTGATCTTTGTTTCTTTGCTTAATAAGCTTGTGATCTTTGTTTCTTTGCTTGATAAGCTTGTGATCTTTGTTTCTTTGCTTGATAAGCTTGTGATCTTTGTTTCTTTGCTTGATAAGCTTGTGATCTTTGTTTCTTTGCTTAATAAGCTTGTGATCTTTGTTTCTTTGCTTAATAAGCTTGTGATCTTTATTTCTTTGCTTAATAAGCTTGTGATCTTTGTTTCTTTGCTTAATAAGCTTGTGATCTTAATGTGTGTTGTACTTTAATAAGCTTGTGATCTTAATGTGTGTTGTACTTTAATAAGCTTGTGATCTTAGTGTGTACCTTAATGAGCTTGTGATCTCAGTATGTGTTATCTGAGATCGTAATGTCCCCCCTGATTATTTCTTCATTGTTCGTGAGGTCTAAAATATTTTCAATCCTAGTTGGTTTGTCACAGAAACTCAGTAGTTGTCTCATCTGGCATTGCCCGCCAAACACACAGCGAAACTACGACGTTGCTACAACGTTCGAACAAGATATAACACCTCCTAACCAGTTATAACAACCAATATAACAAGTTGTAACAATGTTCTAATACGTCATAAACACGTTAAGCCAAGATGTAACAACTTTATTACAAGTTGTAACAACGTTCTAATACGTCATAAACACGTTAAGCCAAGATGTAACAACTTTATTACAAGTTGTAACAACGTTCTAATCCTTCATAAACACGTTAAGCCAAGATGTAACAACTTTATTACAAGTTGTAACAACGTTCTAATACGTCATAAACACGTTAAGCCAAGATGTAACAACTTTATTACAAGTTGTAACAAGCGGAAAATAGGGTCAGTTACGGTTTGTGTTTCCAGGGTGGTAATTACCAGATAGATTTCCTGGTAATCTATAATATTGAGCATTGGATTTGAAAGATTATATTTAGGCCGAATTATATTTACGGGAGCCGGTCGGCCGAGCGGACAGCACACTGTACTTGTGATCCTGTGGTCCCGGGTTCGATCCCGGGCACAGGAGAGAAACAATGGGCAGAGTTTCTTTCACCCTATGCCCCTGTTACCTAGCAGTAAAATAGGTACCTGGGTGTTAGTCAGCTGTCACGGGCTGCTTCCTGGGGGGTGGAGGCCTGGTCGAGGACCGGGCCGCGGGGACACTAAAGCCCCGAAATCATCTCAAGATAACCTCAAGATAGGCTGTTCTTTGATTGTGCTTATCTGTTTTGTGATCTCAAGTGTTGCGTTAACGGTTTGCATTAAGAGTTTTGTCTTATAAACGAAGTTTTTCTATTTTCACTCCACGTATTGGTGGTTTAAGAGGTCTACGCATACAAGGACCTCTCGGATATACAAATCTACATTTTTATTTTGACAGGCGGGCTGTCCGCCTTGCTGACACGATGTGTGGGTGTTGGCAGCTAAGCTAAGCTTGCTCTCTCTGGTCAGGGAGCTGTATGTGAGGTCCTTCATATGTATTTGAGTATATATGAATGTCTATAGATGAAGACTTTGTAGGATCCACATATGCATTAATGCTCTCATATATTTGCGCTTCGAACACCAGTCGTCAGTGAAGCACTTGTTCCGGAAGTGTTCGAACGTCATCAGTTGTGAGTCGTGTGTAAACAGTTTTTCATTCATAAACAGCTGGGGTTTGGCGGGTGGATGGAATGGTCTTTGGGTCTTTGTTTATGAGGCCTTTGTATCCTGATATCTGGTTCCGATATCGTGTTAGATTACGATATGAAACTGAACCTAAAGTTCACCTCAAGAATGGTTCATGAATCTGTGTTCTCTCAAGTCTCGAGTTATTACGATCGGATGATGCCTGGTTGCCTCAGAGGGGCAATAAGGTGCTCAGCCACTGAAGGTGCTTATGGTCGATACTCCTGTGGTTGGTAGTGAGGGTTTACAGCCTCGTGGGGTTGGTGTCTTGGTCTCAGTATACCCCGGGGAAGGTCGTAAATATTGCTGAATATATCATTCCTTTATCACGGGAGGTTAGGAGGTGGGAATGTGAACTGTTACTTGTTCTCCTTCTTTCCTCTCTCCTTTCCTCTCTCCTTCTCTCTTTCTCTCCTTCTCTCCTTCTCTCCTCTCTCTCCCCCTCTCCCCCCTCCCAGCCTCTCCTCTCCACCTCTACTCTCGAATATCGACTTTTTAGTCTCTTCCGTCCTCTTCCTACTCCTTCTTCTTCTCGCCTGCCTCGTATCTCCCTTCTTTATTCCCTTATCTCAGTCATCATTCGTTATCCTACTAGTGAGATCGTTCTCCACTGACTGTTGAGTTATCCTGTTGTGTTATCTCTCTCGGTCTCCCCTCTATCCCTTTTTTTTATAATTATATTCCCCCTTTCTTTTCCCCTCAGGTTGCTCGCTTTCTCTCACCCCGTCCCTCACTTTCTCTCACCCCTGTCCCTCACTTTCTCTCACCCCTGTCCCTCACTTTCTCTCACCCCTGTCCCTCACTTTCTCTCACCCCTGTCCCTCACTTTCTCTCACCCCTGTCCCTCACTTTCTCTCACCCCTGTCCCTCACTTTCTCTCACCCCTGTCCCTCACTTTCTCTCACCCCTGTCCCTCACTTTCTCTCACCCCTGTCCCTCACTTTCTCTCACCCCTGTCCCTCACTTTCTCTCACCCCTGTCCCTCACCTTCCCATCCCTCTCTCTCCCCCCATTTCTTTTTCTGTTCCTCTTGCCTTTCCCACTGCAGTGGTGTGGCCCCTAGGCTCTGGTGCCATAGTGTGGCCCTAGGCTCTGGTGCCATAGTGTGGCCCTAGGGTCTGATGCCACAGTGTGGCCCCCTAGGCTCTGGTGCCATAGTGTGGCCCCCTAGGCTCTGGTGCCATAGTGTGGCCCCCTAGGTTCTGGTGCCACAGTGTGGCCCCCTAGGCTCTGGTGCCACAGTGTGTCCCCCTAGGCTCTGGTGCCACAGTGTGGCCCCCTAGGCTCTGGTGCCACAGTGTGGCCCCCTAGGCTCTGGTGCCACAGTGTGGCCCTAGGCTCTGGTGCCACAGTGTGGCCCCCTAGGCTCTGGTGCCACAGTGTGGCCCCCTAGGCTCTGGTGCCACAGTGTGGCCCCCTAGGCTCTGGTGCCACAGTGTGGCCCCCTAGGCTCTGGTGCCACAGTGTGGCCCCCTACGCTCTGGTGCCACAGTGTGGCCCCCTAAGCTCTGGTGCCACAGTGTGGCCCCCTAGGTTCTGGTGCCATAGTGTGGCCCCCTAGGCTCTGGTGCCATAGTGTGGCCCCCTAGGTTCTGGTGCCATAGTGTGGCCCCCTAGGTTCTGGTGCCATAGTGTGGCCCCCTAGGCTCTGGTGCCATAGTGTGGCCCCCTAGGTTCTGGTGCCATAGTGTGGCCCCCTAGGCTCTGGTGCCATAGTGTGGCCCCCTAGGTTCTGGTGCCACAGTGTGGCCCCCTAGGTTCTGGTGCCACAGTGTGGCCCCCTAGGCTCTGGTGCCACAGTGTGGCCCCCTAGGCTCTGGTGCCACAGTGTGGCCCTAGGCTCTGGTGCCACAGTGTGGCCCCCTAGGGTCTGGTGCCACAGTGTGGCCCCCTAGGCTCTGGTGCCTCAGTGTGGCCCCTAGGCTCTGGTGCCACAGTGTGGCCCCCTAGGCTCTGGTGCCACATTGTGGCCCCCTAGGCTCTGGTGCCACAGTGTGGCCCCCTAGGCTCTGGTGCCACAGTGTGGCCCCCTAGGCTCTGGTGCCACAGTGTGGCCCCCTAGGCTCTGGTGCCACAGTGTGGCCCCCTAGGCTCTGGTGCCACAGTGTGGCCCCCTAGGCTCTGGTGCCACAGTGTGGCCCCCTAGGCTCTGGTGCCACAGTGTGACCCCCTAGGCTCTGGTGCCACAGTGTGGCCCTAGGTTCTGGTGCCACAGTGTGACCCCCTAGGTTCTGGTGCCACAGTGTGACCCCCTAGGCTCTGGTGCCACAGTGTGACCCCCTAGGCTCTGGTGCCACAGTGTGACCCCCTAGGCTCTGGTGCCACAGTGTGGCCCCCTAGGCTCTGGTGCCACAGTGTGGCCCTAGGTTCTGGTGCCACAGTGTGACCCCCTAGGTTCTGGTGCCACAGTGTGACCCCCTAGGCTCTGGTGCCACAGTGTGACCCCCTAGGCTCTGGTGCCACAGTGTGGCCATAGGTTCTGGTGCCACAGTGTGACCCCCTAGGTTCTGGTGCCACAGTGTGGCCCCCTAGGTTCTGGTGCCACAGTGTGGCCCCCTAGGTTCTGGTGCCACAGTGTGGCCCCCTAGGTTCTGGTGCCACAGTGTGGCCCCTAGGTTCTGGTGCCACAGTGTGGCCCCCTAGGTTCTGGTGCCACAGTGTGGCCCCCTAGGTTCTGGTGCCACAGTGTGACCCCCTAGGCTCTGGTGCCACAGTGTGGCCCCCTAGGTTCTGGTGCCACAGTGTGGCCCCCTAGGTTCTGGTGTCACAGTGTGGCCCCCTAGGCTCTGGTGCCACAGTGTGACCCCCTAGGCTCTGGTGCCACAGTGTGGCCATAGGTTCTGGTGCCACAGTGTGGCCCCCTAGGCTCTGGTGCCACAGTGTGGCTCTGTATAGTGCTATACAGGATCAGGATAGGGATTTTTCTCTCCCCTCACTCTCCCTCTCTCCCCTCATTGTCCCTCATTCTCCTCTCTTCCTCACTATTTCTTGTCCCCCCCCCCCCCCCCGCTCACTCCAGTCGTTAACGAGACATTCTTAAAATAACTATCCAACTACTTGATTCGTTCTAATATTTTGGATGGAACAGCTTGTGTAGGTGAGGGAGGTAGGGGGGGGGAGAGGGAGAGGGGAGAGGAGGATGGTGATTGAGGGAGAGAGGGGAGGTAGGATGTGTCGTGGGGAGGGGGGAATCAACGGTTATCTTAAGGTTATCTTGAGATGATTTCGGGGCTTTTAGTGTCCCCGCGGCCCGGTCCTCGACCAGGCCTCCACCCCCAGGAAGCAGCCCGTGACAGCTGACTAACACCCAGGTACCTATTTTACTGCTAGGTCACAGGGACATAGGGTGAAAGAAACTCTGCCCATTGTTTCTCGCCTGCGGGATCGACCCCAGGACCACAGGATCACAAGTCCAGCGTGCTGTCCGCTCGGCCAACCGGCTCCCGGTGTCCAAAGCCTGTCCTCGGGCCGGGCTTGGGGAATAGAAAAACTCCCAGAAACCCCATCCACCAGGTATCAACCGCTTATAGACAGTCAGGGGATTGAACGCCGACCTGCATGAAGCGAGACCGTCGCTCTA